CCCGTAGTTTCTTAGGTACCACCCTGGCCATATCGAAAACCAGGTTTTTGGACGTGCCTGGCATGTTGGAAGGTGAAGGCTTCTTCTGTGAGGCCATTTGGGATGAATACAAATCTGTTTTGACTGTATGTGGATGATGTATGGAAATGTTTGGAGCTAGACCAGCTCAAGTCTCCACAAGAACCTGACATTGAAATGCTCTCATTATATGCCCCTATAATTGTTTAGGGCTGTGACAAACACCAAAGCTTGAGTTCATTTCATTCCGTCCCGCTTCTTGCCAAACTCTGGCATGGACCCAGCGCTTTGCCCTTCTTTCATCGGACAGCAAAGCAGATCGGCCGGAGACTCAGGCCATCATCAGTAAGCCTGCAGTGGTCAGTCCCAAACATGCTCGAACATTGATGCCTGTCTCGTGAATGAATGACGGACCTGGGCATTATAGAATTTGCTTTTTCATACCTAAAGCCATTTTTGCGTGCTCAATCCTAGCTGGCATTCTGTTTGGCAGCGCCTCGATGCCGTTCAAGGACAAGGAGGGCAAAGAGCTTCCCACCTGTGAGATTTCACGGGTGTACCGGGAGTGGAAAGAACAACCCGCTGTTCGTCAAGTCGCAATCAGAGCCGATCGATTGTTTGAGGCTTCTAGGCCACCAGCTGCAGATGGGGTCCCTGCTGGCATCAAGTTCGGTATTCGGGATGCAGTCCACAATCAATTCGTTCTTCGGCCCTTACTACAGCGCATGGCCCAGAATCCACACCACCCTGTGCCATATGTGAAGGAGCTTGGTGCAGAGAGTCTTGCCCAAGCCTTATACAAATTGTTTTTATATTTGTAGAGCAAATATATGTACCTTTGTGTATGTTTGTCCAAGGTTGACCGGTTGACCCTCTCATTTGTCAACCAGGAGGCACCAACTTGTTTGACCAGAGAATATGAAATATGGGCGGTGGTTTCCCTGAGCAAACCATCATCATATGTGTATATATTTTGTTTGTGAGGAGACTTGTAAACAAGTTAGACAAGCGTCAAAAAATTGAACTCTATATATATTGCAGCCTCTGGCAATCCTTCCATGGATGGACCCTGTGATTCAAGCGCATGTGAGGATCAAGCTGTTCAGAAGCAAAATGCACCTCATCCCGCAGAAGGACAAAGTCAAGCTCGATGCCTGGACGGCCAAAAGCATGCTCTCTTTCATCAAAATGCGAACTCACAAGAACCTGGGTTCACATGTGGCTTGGGTGCACTAGCTTGCATGGCTTTACCAACCCCCGTCACAATTAAGGACATGTCAAGCAATCTGTCGTTTTAATGGAAGTGCATGGTTGGTCCCATATACAATTTGGGGTGATTATGCCGTTGGGACATATACAGAGTCCTAATGGTCTTCTTACTGTTCAGTTTGATCGCCGAGCTGCTCGACAATCGCTTAGTCCTTTTACAATTAAGGACCTTCACTTCTTGGCCCTTCAGCGAATTCTTGACCCGGACATCCAGGCGACGGTGTATATAGTTCCAAAAGCTATTGCGACACAATGTCTATATCTTCAGCGTGCAAAGTTCATGAGCGGTAAAGCGTATATATATATATACATACACACATTCACAATGTGGGCTGTGCATGAGCACTGAAAATTATACATGCGTGCGCGCTGTTTGTTGAAGACTTGCCAATACTTGTCAGAAAACATGTGCACTTTTGCTGGATTGAATCCCTTGCAGCCTCGCAATCAATGGGAACCTGATGGACCAGAAAGCGATGGAGAAGGAGAGTCAGGAGCGGCTAGTGATGGCTTGATCTATGACCAGAACGATTATGAGGTCGAGGAAACTGAGGACGCTTGGTTCGATCAGTTCATCAGCACCGGCTTGTCGGGATCGACTGATCAGTCTGATGTTGTGGTTGAAGAATCTGAGCCTGTTCTGCCAGACCACTCCAGCCAGACCACTCCTGTTCTGAAAGATGTTGAGATGGCAAAGCAGCCGCCGCGTCCAGTGGCACGTCCACTGGCTCCATCGCTCAACAAGCAGGCCGAGGAGTCAGTGCTGATCGAAGACTCACCGGTGAAGATGGAATTGCAGGAGGTCGAGGATATTCCAGTCAGGGAGCCCACCAAAGAAGAACAAGCCCAAGCACTCCGAGAGCAAATCAAACATTTGGAGCAGCAAATGAAGGAAGCAGAGTCCCGGGCTTATTTGCTGAAATTAAGGATGTATATTTATAAGCAGTTCATTTTTACTTTGAAGAGGCATTTTCAAGAAAGCTGCCTGCTTTACTCCAAAGAATTCTCAAGTTGAAATGCTGCAAAACTAAAGCACTGCCTGTTACCCTTGCACTGCTTTTGTGTTGCGGGTTTTCAACACGAGTTCTGTCATTCTTTGGTATAGATGGATTGTATTAAACCGGTGTACCCATTGTGGTCCCATTGCGGTATGTTTGTCTTCTTGCCCTTCAAGCACCAAACATGGATGACACAGAAAACTAAATGGAATGTGCCAACACAGCCCTTGCGCATGAACCGATGTGAACTGACTGATATAACACTACACCTTGAAATGTGCCAAGGACTCTCCAAGCAAAAATCAACGCAGACATCCAGTCGATTCCTCCAGTCACAGGTGGGGCACTGATGGTGATGGAATCACTTCCCATGGGCGGAGACACTGACCCCACTATCCCAATGGATTTGACTGGTGGGATGACCGCAGCAGTGGCTGAGATCATTGAGAGGGGCGAGCGTGTGGCTACTCCTGCAGACCCGCCCCCAAAGGAGAAGGAGCAGGCCAGGGTGTGTTCTTTAACA